ATTTAACTTTCACTTCAATATCAATTACGTAACATATAACTTACTTCAAAAGACATACATGAAACAGTTTAACATCATATTTAACTTTCACTTCAATATCAATTACGTAACATATAACTTACTTCAAAAGGCATACATGAAACTGTTTAACATCATATTTAACTTTCACTTCAATATCAATTACGTAACATATATTTGAAAATTTTCGCAATATTTATTTTCCAGTTTTAATTCTCCCCGGAGAAAATAAAAACAGTGCTCTGAATTATATAATGAATTTTCCTTTCATTTTTTATTTATTCGTTCCCTTAAGGTCTCAGTTTATTAATAATTCAAAGGGGGCAGTCTTTTTTTTTTTGACACACGTCATTTGTGTTTGATACTTAACAACTAACAGGAATTGAACAACTACATTAGCAGTTGACGTAATATTACCATTTATTGATATCATCCACTTCAACCAAAATTTAATCAAGGTATATCAGCCGTTTGAAGACAAAAATTGGCTTGATTTATGCTTCTGGAAGAGTAGATTTTCCGAATCTTCAACTCTCATTGCAAGGAGAGGACGAAATACAGCAGTTCATGGCGACGACAAGGAACCCAGAGTTGCTGGCAAACTGTTGGAGAGGATGGATTTCTGGCGTAGGACGAAGAATTCGTGGCCCATTCTCAGCACTGATTGACACGCTAAACAAAGCAGCGGTTTCAAATGGTAAGTTCATAGTTTCACACATGCTACCCCCCTTTTATCGGTAGCTCAGCGGGCTTATATCGCTAAAAATCGAGTTTAGATACCCGCGGTGAAAAGAGCCCAGATAACTCATCGTGTAGCTTTGTGCTTACTTAACAAAAAAACAACAAAAAAAACAACGAATTATTTGTTTGTTTGATTTGAATTTCGCGCAAAGCTACATGAGGCAAGCGAACGAAAAAATATGTTTATCATATCGATGACGTGGGCATCTGGAAGTGTTCCCCAAATAAATGTACATCATTAACATATCTCTAACCTCTATTAAACTCGTACAACATCGGTGCGATAAATGTAATATGCACGCGTATAAAATAAGTTGTTTGTTTCACCAAATCTCGAGAAGATTGTACCTTTATGGAACTCTTCTCCAGGTAGACACTTCATTGAAATCTCTTGGGCTCACCAACTATATGAGACTTACTTAGGCCAATCATACAAATAGCATTTCAAACAAAATTAGGAATAAAGTAAGTAACGTTAAAAGTCTGGCTGACAACAACGGAGGGGCGTCTGCATATAACACGCTCAAACTTTATAAAAGTAATACTATATCAATACTATAGAGGATAAATAGTTCTTAGTTATTTAACAATATGTATTTTTTGGGTTTCATCTACCACGTTTCTTTGTTTCAATCACTACAAACAAACCACGTGATTTATCAAATTTATTTGTTACAGTTTAAGAAGAAAAAATCTGCTTGTGATAATTGAAAATACCTGATACGCTTTCTGGGATTAGCGATATGTTTTGTCTTCTCATACAATCAGGCGATAAGGCTGATTCCGCCATTGTTTCACCAAGCGCTTCGTGAAGAGCAGAAGTGGCTCCCGACCGGAAGATGACTGGTTGAAATCGGTAAGCCATGTAATACTGCACGTGGCCCATCTCGTGAAAAACACGATGTAGACCTTCCATATTAAGCTGTGTACACATTCTAATCCTGTAGAATAAATTTGGGGATTAAATTTTCACTCCGTTGTTCGTGTAAGGAGTTATATTTACAACGAAAAGGCAACAACAACAGAGTAATATCTACACCAAGGCTAATAGCTCGAATACAGCTCACTATCACTGGTGAAAGTTATTAGACGTTTAGTACTACTAAATGCCGATAGTACTACTATAACGAGAAGATATGTGAAAAAAAAATTACATTTAGAGGTCTTTAATGGACTAGTTAGATATCATTAACTGTTTTTAACAACAAAATAACAAACTCGGTTATCTTCTTGAGCGTTTGTTTAGTTTGAAATAAAGTGATACTTTTAGCAAATTGGGATATATTTTATTCACCAGCATGGGTTGTATAGGAACACACATGAAACCGTGGTACTTTCTTTGTATAACCGTTATTATTCTGAATATATAAATAATTAACTAAAAGTCCTTCGAATCTTATTAGTCCAGATTTAAGGAACAATGTTGACGCTCTTAATTTCAGTTTCTTTCATAAAAATTGAAGTTTTCAGTGATGCCATCACGTAGTCTGGCATTTGTCTAATTACTAAACGAATTTATATGTTTTTTTCTCTTTCCGTTTATCTTTTAGCACTGATACATTTATGAACTATTCTCAGATTGAAAATTTAACTCTTTCGTCACTCATTACATATGAATATCATCTTCTCTATATTGTGTGATGTCCTAAGACTATGTTATAAGCTTTCCAGTCATAACTAATTGGCTCAGCGGGCCACTATTTGACGTTTCAAGCTTCTTAATCTGATGCTGTTACTTGCTGTATTTTTGTGATAAAACGTTGCAATAATACGACATAACATAACTAATGTGTTGGAAAACCTTTTTACAGAAATATATCCTCTCGGATTAGTTCACCTACTCCTGTCAACCCATAGTTTTGATCCAAATGAACTATTCTGACATATCTTGAAAAACGATCGTAACTATGATATACTAAAGAAAACATTCCTGTAATCATCCTCTTTTCCGATATCATAGGCAGATCCGTGACAGTCAACTAATCTCCCGTCAGATGGAGCTGTGAGCATGGACTTTCGCCAGAAGGTTGAGGTCATGTTGAACAAATCCATAGAACTGAAGAAACGTTCAGCAGTCTTGTAAAACTCATTCACAGTTGGCACGTTTGTCTGGGAGGAAGTTATTTCCGAAGGTTGAAGAATATCCAAGATCCCCGACCACGTTTCACCCCATAGGCCACCTGATTAAAAAAAACAAAAAAGCACACTTGATCCTACATGGATTTATTTAACATATTACTGTTTGCGTACTTAATCTATTCAATAAATTACTAAGGATAAAACTCGTGCTTTGCGTGCGAAACTTTTGTTGTTGTTGTTGTGGTGGTGGTGGTGGTATTTTGTACTTGAATGCACAAAGTTTATAAAATATATAACCAATCTGCCGCCCTACGTTTAAGTGACTTTCTTAGATTACTTTCATATGAAGTTAAGTACGTAGGTTTCTGAACGAATCTAATGGCCGTGTGGGGCGTCTCAATGACTGCGAGGTTAAAATCTAAACCTATTCCACAACACGTGAATCCCACCAAACACCGTCAGTACAAAAAAACACTTTGAAACGAACGGTCTGATAAAAAAAATGACAAACTGACCAACTTATCCAGTAAGAAACACCAGACGTTTCCTAAACCTGGGTATCTTGGGTCAAATATTAAAACTCATCAGGTACCGGTAATTTAAATGTCTTTAAACAAATGAATAAATTCACACACAAAACCATAACATATAAACACTGCTGTTTGAGATGTGGCTCTGAGGGATGACAGATCCATTCCCAATACACCTTTCCCTTTGCAATACATAGTACTATCTACACCCATCCCTCCCTTATGTATATGATGACTCATCCTTGTTTCCCTGCTCCTAATCTCATTTGTCCATAACGTAATGAGATCTAAAAAGCTTCACACGCAAGCAATTACTTTGATATACAGTTTAACATTATTTGGTAGCACGAGAAAAGGAGAGCAAAGTTTCTTTTAAGAATACACAGTTGATAACAATTCCTATTAACTATTGTTAAGCACAAAGCTGCACAATGGGCTATCTGTACTGTGCCCACCACAGGGTATCGAAACCCGATTTTTAGCGTCGTAAGCCTTCAGACTTACCCTCTGAGCCAATGCGAGACAAAAGATTAGATGGTAAATAAACAGAAGAGAATTAAGCAGAAAAATATTACACTAATCTCACCAAGCAAATGAACAGGGACAGGGCCTTTATCTTGAACGATACTAGGGCCATATCTGAGTAGCAATCGATGCCTTACAAACGCATGGAGCTGCCGATAAAGGTCACTTGTTTCCTTCCAAAGTCGTTCTGCTGTTGTAGTAACATCTTCTATTTCCATCTGAGTGCGCCATAATTCTCCAACATCCTTGTATCCTTTAAAAGATCAAACTAAATATTATCTCTTACAATGAAACATAAGTGTCCTTTTGCGTCAGCGAGATCACGTGACTATTGTCACGCCCCCTGCTTTCTAGAAGTATCTTGTTCCTTCGTGAATGCCCTAGCATTTACTAGATATATGTTTGTCTGGTATATAAATAAGACGCTCACAACGTGACAACAATGTGTCTGTAGATAGTGAGTAACTGAACTGCAGTCAGAAGTATTGTTGACATTCGTTGATATAGTGTTTGTTATAGAGCGACTGTTGAAAATAAGTGTATCGTAAAGGTGTATTCGGAAGAAATAAACCAGTTTTATTAAGTAAGCACTTGTGTCGCTAAAGTTTCGTCGGAACGAAGTTACGGAAAATCAATTAACAAACGGAGACGTAACAAATTGGTGTCAGAGAGTGG